ATTTCTTGTGAAAGAGGAAATCCCTGCTGCAGAAATTCACCAGAGACTTCAGTGTGCTTATGGAAGTGTGTTCATTGGTGCGAGCAGTGTTCAAAAATGGGTGAAACATTTTAAAGATGGGAACACCAGCATCGAAGATGAGCCTCGGAACGGTCATCTTCGAACAGCCTCAACTGAACGCAACAAGGAAAGAGTGGATGATATCATTCAAGATGACAGGCGTGTGACTGTGGACACAATAGCCCGAAAACTTGGACTAGGGCACAGTGCAGTACAGGAGATGGTTGAAAGCTTGGGCTATAGGAAAGTTTGTGCTCGTTGGGTTCCGCGGTTATTGACCGAAGGCCACAAAGGTCAGCGAAAAGCCATCACCTCAGAACTGCTGCAGAGATATCGACACGAAGGCGATGACGTATTGTGACAGGTGACGAAAGCTGGTTTCACCATTTCGAGCCTGAAACAAAACGGCAGAGTATGGAATGGCACCATTTGCATTCTGCATCGAAATAGAAGGCAACGACAGTGCCATCAGATGCCAAGGTGATGGGCACAGTCTTCTGGGATGCAGAGGGGTTTATTGTGACCGAATTCCTGGGACCTGGGCAAACCATCAATGCTGCTCGTTATGTCCAGACGCTGCACAAGCTCCGTCGTGCATTGCGCGATAAACTTCCGGGACATCATCATCATCATCGCTCCCACGCCGCTCGCCTCACATAGGAAGTAATTGCAAAGATGGGGTTGGAAGTTCTTCCACACCCCTCCTATAGCCCTGATCTGGCACCCTCCGACTACCATCTTTTCGCATTTGTGAAGGATCAACTGCGTGGACAACGTTTTGAGACAAGGGAGGCAATTCAGAAAGCAGTGCGTCAGTGTCTTCGGATGGCTGGAACGGAATTTTACAGAAGGGGAATTTTCAAACTCCCAGAACGCTGGGAGAAATGTGTACAAAGAATGGCGATTATGTGGAAAAATATAGAAAGGTCTGTAGATTGAGATGGTGTATTTGGTTTGTCAATAATAAAGCATGTTACTTTACAAAAAATTGCTGCTCATGACTTTCAGTACGACCCTCGTAATTTATCCACAATTCACAATTTTGCGGACGGTATATTCTGAAACAGAGATAACTTCCCTGAAGCCCGCGCGAAACACATAGGTCACATTTAGTTTTTAAACGACGCTATTCGAGATACGAGAAATGTTTTCCCACCGAGAAGTAGGTATAATATTCGATACGAGTGTATTACTTTGTTGGTCTATATACAACGAGTGTGATTGAATATGCTTTCATGAGGACTTCTTCGATTAACAAAGCATGTTAAGAATGTGATGATTTCCTGCAAGTGAGTGAACTGGGGTTTAGTTATGCTAGATATGGATACTAAGTATCTCATGTATTTTCATGTAGGTACGGGTTGTCCTGTGCCTGGGAAATTCCTTGCTGAAGCTGTGTTAGAAGAGCGACTGTATAAAAACCGGCATGCGTCCTATCAGATTCGCCTGGCTCTGTTCTAAACCCAGCCTCCACCGACAATCATCTGTAACAGAGAAATGTATAAGGGTGAAAGTCTCGATCTGTGAACTCAAGTTCGGCTTAGTAACATAACCGAATATTACGAATATGTGTTAGCAAAAAGTGTATTGCTCTTTGGTGTTTGTGGAAGGAATTCTTTCTGATAATGACATAACTGGAAAGATGAGCATGCTTGACTGATTTTACCATGAATTTCCTATTTATTCCTAATATAAAATGTCCTTAATTATTAAGTCAGTGAATGAGTCTTGACGTGCTTGTACTGTACACGTTTGGGAGCTGAGATTTCAGAGCTTCTGCCAATTCTTTCTCTTAAATAGTAGTACGGATCTGAGGAAGTTTCAGTAGTAAGATATTTGATTCTCTAAAAGAAGTTTATTTTGAGGTACAATTTGTACAGCCCTGTACGATGTTTCGACAATTGACTCTCCTTTTGTCTTCGTGGTCCGATCTAAAAAAAAAGCCGAAATTAACGGCGAAGGGGATCCGTTGCGCTCACCATGTGACACCATATATCCGTAAAAATTGGCACTAACTTCGCTGACGAGCGGCGGTCGCTCGGTCGGTTTAGTTCACTTGAGGACTACAGGCCACGGATTTCTTTTTTGTCTTCGGGAGAATGGTTTTCGTTTTACTAAAATATATTTTACTCATTATTTTGCTGACTTCCCTTCATCTCAAAAGACAGTAAACTTACGAAATCGCCGTTCTGCCTGTAGATGTCCCCCCCCATAATCTCCTGAGTACCTTGACTGATTTCTTTTAACTTGATGTGAATATTATGCAATTGGCGGCCAGCCCAACGTTATGGCGTTTACATTTCTAAAGTCTGTGATTACAACATGGAGGACTCGCAAATTTTTTATGAGGAAGCGACACTTTTTATGTTTTTGTAGTGATAATGGAAATACCCCCCTCGTTGGTGTCTCCGCCTTATCGTGGTGAGGGGGTTTGAGTATGCTAAGGACCCTGAGAGCTATACCAGCGGCAGCGTAGCTACTGGCAGGGCCTCCCTTGCTGGACAGGTCAAAGGGTAGGCATCAGACGAAGAGAGATACCAAAAACCAAAAACTGATACCGGAAGCAGCGTCATCAGCAACGACTTGAAGCACAGAACAAATTATGCTCGAGATGGTTCAAGTTCGTATAGCAACAGGCGTGACCAGAGTGGTTTGAACGGCTGTCGTACTGCGATGTGGAAAGCAAATGGAAAAACTACCACATTATCACTTTTCCTGGATAGTCTCTTTCCAAAAACAGAAGATCGCATTAAGTGGAGGAACTGTTTTGGAAGAGATTGTGGACCTGTCGTCTGAGAGATTACTGATGGATGAATGAATGAATGGTAATACATCTTAGAAGAATGTGCAGCTTTTGTGGAGGTAAAATAATCATGGCGACCGTGCAGAAATATTCTTTTGCCTCTGATTTCACGGCCATAACTAATAAAAATTTCGGATGTAGGCATTTGAAATTCGGTATGGAGATATATCATGAACATACCTACCAATTAAGTATAAAATATTGTTTATGAGTCAAAGAAGCTTTAAGTTATAGCCCATAAATTAGACGAAGGCAGAACCTGCTAGTTAAGTGATAATTTCTTTAAGAAATAAAATAATAATGGGAATAGTGCGGGGGGATTTTAAATCTCTGCAGCAGGAAATTAAGCTGCGAGTCCTGTTGAGAATTTCTGGCCTCTCTTCAAAGATTATTTTTAAGATTACTAACGGCGACGGGAGGTGCACATGCGACATGTAAGATTTGAGGTTTTCACGGCGGTGACTATGAAGAAAGCAATCTTCTGGGATGTGGCACCGTGTAGATGTGGTGTTAACCGAGGTTTCGGAGGAACGTATCGCCTCCATCTTTCGGGTAGAAGAAATAAGAAAATCCGCAAGCGACGAGACCGTGAGAACCGGTACAAGCAGACCGGTGTCGGTTAACACCACATCTACACGGTGCCACATCCCAGAAGACTGTTTTCTTTATAATTAACATTCATTCTATTAACTCTTTGATGGGAACATGATTTAGTACCAAATAACTCTGAAGAACCAGACTGACATTTATTTAGATCAAGTTTTGCAGGAATATTACATTTCTTAATCAGGGACACTCACTTTCGCTTAATTGCTGCCACAATGTAATGTGTAATTGTACGTTTCATTTTAGTCAGAGGAATGCCGTGGTAAACGACTTCCGCTGGTGTACGACGGCTGTGAGAATATTACTCCCTTTATCAATGGAAGCCGCATTATATTTAATGTAGACTGAAGTTGTTTATTGCATCAAATACAACTCACTTAAATTCTAATAGGGTGCAACACCGCATGTAGAACTTGTTAATAATTTATTGCTTACTAGGCCTATACACCACTTTATGGCGAAGCACTCGAGCGTTAATCAGCATGAGGTGCAAGTTCTCCAGCCAGCTCCTTACCGCGGAAATATACTTTCGGAGTCTGTCCACGCAAGCGCTGCACTCGGAGATTCGAACTTGGAGTTTGTCGTTACATAGAGAGTTTTACAAGTATCATTCAGTTTATATATATTGCAACTGCTACCTCAGACTTGTGTGTTATATCCTCCACAGTCTGACAAACTTGTTTAAATGTCGCAGAAAAATATTTACTAATTCTTGTGTTACATATGTAACTGCAGCCCAACGACGCTTTTTTTTAAGAACGCAAGTGCAGTAGATCAAAATACAATCAGTCTTTGACAAATACCTTTTTGGAAAAATCTAACAAATATATTTCAACAGAACACAATATACTATTTAATTTTTATATAACTGAGTATTTATTCACTACTTTATAAATTTTAAATATGTTTTAATTATACGGTGTGATATAATTACAAAGGAAAATACTTTGATGATGAACTGAGATTCTTGAAGCTTTGTTTGGAAACAGAAAACATAAGGCTCATTCTACAACTTCTCTCCTGAAACTCGCTCATTTCGTATGAGAGCTGGTCGTAGAAATACACGTCAACTCAGGGACAGACCATAGTTAGCATGTCTGTATAGTTCTTCTAGGCTCTTAATTACTCTAGTTTCAGAATTCTAAATTGTAGCCATATTTAACGTGCACTGAATGTGGATTATATAGAAAGTCTCTTATCTAAATATAGGCCATTTCAGTCGTCACTTTAAAGGTTATAAATTGCGGCATATAAACAGATTTCTTCCTTGTTGAAAAGAGGCCTCATGTGACTTACTGATGTCATTTAAATATAAAGTTTATATGTACATTGCACTTTCAGCAGATAATACAAATTTCGCAGAGATGTGTAGGGTCTATGCGAGAAAGAAAATGGAGACGCTTATGTCTACTCTTGGCTTCTTTCTTCCTGCATTGACTTCACATACTCAGAGAAGCTTAAGAGTGAGCTATTGAACATGGCGGGCGGAGTTGATCGTCTGTACGGAACTCTCTCCCTCTCTCCCTCTCTCTTCGATTTATATAGTACAAAATATTTTATACAATGACAGTTTAATGATGTGCGGTGAGAATAAATGATCAGAAGTCATACGAGCTTGTCTCGTCCTCCCCCTTCCTGGCCTGGAACAAGAACCTGTACACTGCTCCGGCCACCAGACCGCCAAGGATGGGGCCCGCCCAGTACACCTGCGAGGACCAAGCACAACACTATTAACCCCTCCAATTTAAGCTCAGTTATAATTTGGCACTTTAATTATCAAAAAGACGTTCAACTCACAACGTTCTCTTTCCAACACTGCCAAATGTAATTTTTTTCTCCAAGAATAGCGGAGTATTCTCACACGACAATGCAAAATTCTAAACATGACTTTAATTTCAGTTCTATGAAAAATTTTATACCACTTTCTGCCTTGTTGTTGAGTAATGTAAGCGAATATTACTCTATATTTTAAGAGCTCTAAATTCTAATACTCTCCAAAATGTTTTCACTTAATATATATTTTAACTCGAAGATTTCATTTGAATTTATGTTACCACAGTCACACTTGCTGATATATATGAACACTATGGAATATATATGTACATATACACTGGCCCTCGAATGATTTATAAAGTCATTCGTAAAACTGCAATACTGCATTAAACACTTAATAATGAATCAAAACACTCGACATTTATTTAGCAGTATCAAGATTACGGTCTTCTGGAATATTCCGTCGTACAGTTTGGTAGATAGATATAATTTTGAAGAAACCTGTTGACTCCATCTTCAGGATAGAAAAATGTACTCTTCTACCTTGAAAAAGTGGGCAATCTGCTAAATTGAGCTGCTGTGTATCCCAGAAACCCGTAATCTTTATAATACAATTTCAGACATTTTGGAAGGAATGGGAGTGTAATTAAGCTATATTCACCCAGTGATTGTCCCACGATCCTGTTATAACGGCAGGCCCAAATGTACGGGCAGGGTTCATGCTGGCACCTGTGTATTTTATCTGCAACAGATCAAACATTCATACTTCAGTGGCTGTCCACAGAAAGTGCTCTCACGGTCTATATTGACACAATGTTCTAGTCTCCATGACTAGAGCAGGAACTAACAGATTTTGCAGCGTTATACAAATTCTGAAGTCTAAAACGATACTGATTAAATATATTTTCTGTAATTATATACGGTAAAGTAAGCAAAAAGTAAGGCTGCGCCATAGCGCAAGCGGTTAGTCGGTGGCTTTCCACCGCGGCGGCCCGGATTCGATCCCGGGGTCTACTCAAGTGGATTTTGTGGTGGAAAAAGTGGCGCTGGGGCAGGTTTTTCCGAGTACTTCGGTTTCCCCTGCCAACTTCATTCCACCAATTGCTCCACAATCACCCTCACCTATCATCTGGGGCTGGTACAATAGGCCAGAAGTGGCCGCAGTACAAGGGACTTAGTCCCACCCCACTAGCAACAGAAGAAAGTAAAAAGTAAAGGTCTTACTGTAACAGGCCGTGGAGGCTCATAAGGTTGTGAGATGTTGAGGTTCCCACAGTTTCTAGATAATTGGCGGCAAGGTTGTCAGCCCTACGCGCCGGCCGCCCTTTACCTCCAAGAATATTCCTGGTACTCGCTTCTGTTAGAGGCTGAGTAGACTCCAGGGCTATAATGCGTCTGGAAGGATTAGGTCAATTGAAAAAAGAAATCCAATGACCTCATCGAGTCTTGAACCCGCGACCTTCCGGCTCGTAGCATAGTGCCCGAACCAACCACGCTACAGAACTATATACGGTAAAGAAATTCATTCATGGCAAATGTTCGAAACGAAATATTAATAGCTGAATTACTGCTAGGTATGACAGAGGAAGTTTGAATCCCCAGCTCTGCACTCCGCACCGTATCAAGAGGCGAGTCTTGTTTTTTCAGTGATGAAGACTGCAGGAGACTGAGGCCCATTGCTAACGTTGTCTTAGAATTTGTGCGTTATTATTAGTTCCAATCTGGCCTTATGCATTTGTTGACGTGGTACTCAGCCATATAAATAATTGTATGAGTAATTTACCTGATACTTAAGAATGTAGTCTGCTGGTCATGACACCGCTAGTCTTCCAGCTGACTATCAACGTTTCGGAGCAACCTGCGACCATCACCTTCAGGGAATTTGGGAGATTGAGGCAGTATGTCCCTTTAAGAATTTGTTAAACTCTACAAGACTGCGCGGTCTCACAAACGTTTCACCGCCGAGAAAACTTATAAATTATTTAAATATTATTAGCCTTTCTGCTGAATAGTGTGAATGTTAATGAATTTAACTTTTATGAGTCACCTCTGGAAATTTTGCAGCCCTCGAGATGAGAAATGCTTTTCTATTCGTCTGTCAAAGAAAAGCAGCTATGTAGTGAGCCATTCCTCATTAGACCGAAGCTCAGGGTTCCCTGCAGTACGTGCGTCTTAAAATTACGTGATGATCGCACTAAGTTATGGCATAAGATTTTTTTTTTTGTATTTGCTCAAAATTCTGAACTCCCCCCCCCCACGCCCGCAGCAAAAATCACGAGGATAAAAATTCAAACCTATAGATTGTTGTACAGAACTACAAGGTTTATTTTGGACTCTATCCATCGTCTGGTATATATAAGACAAAAAACTACAGCGTTTCGGAGACTGGATCTGTCTCCGTCCTCAGGTTGATGGGGCAAGATAGACCTACTCACTGGGTCCAGTGATTGAGACTAGCTCTTTCTAACGGGCCCAACTGAGTAGGTCTATCCTGCTCCATCCACCTGAGGACGGACAGAGATCCAGTTTCCGAAACGTTGTGGTTTTTTCTTATATATACCAGACGATGGATAGAATCAAAATAAACGTTATAGTTCTGTACAGTATACACCATCGTCAGAATCCTTTAAAGTCTACTATAGATTATGTACCCATCTTATAATTATGATAAATGATATGAACTCCGTCCCAGGTGCAAACAATATATTATATGTCCTTGATCTTGCTCTTCTTTACACTACATGTTTGGACCTCAAACGGCCATCATCAGGTGTATACACTCACGTAGCTGTTAAATTTTAAACTACGTGCAGTGTAACAGCAACATGAGTGTATACACCTGATGATGGCCGTTTGAGGTCCAAACATGTAGTGTAAAGGAGAGCAAGATCAAGAACATATAATATATTGTTTGCACTTGGGACGGAGTTAATATCATTTATCGTACAGAGTGCAATAAGATGCTTAAATATAATCTTATAATTATGGTAACATATGTATAGCTCGTCTGTTTTAGGTGAAATCTCTTGTGATTGTACGAGTATAGCATTGCAAAGTGGGAGCTTACCGGTAAACTATTCAAAGGCAGATATCAGAATTGCGTTAAGTCCGGACAACGAAATGTGAGAGGAGGCTACTGCACATTCGGGTCCACACGTCTGACTAAAGTACACAACACAGTCAAAGTTCTTTATATACAGGCTTATCGTAGAATTTTGTCATCTCAAAAATCTCTTAACATCAACATGAATTATGTTCATGTAAGTTTATATTTAACATAATAAATATTTTGAAAATCAAACTAACATTTCTTTGTGAACAGCATTAATGCAATTATTATATGACGCAATTAAAAAAAACAACGTTATTATTCGTAATTCTTGTTTATTATAAGACCTATATGCATATTTCAAATTGTTTTCGTCTATCTTTATAATGCTGTAGAGAAGATTTCAGCCGATGTTTTTAGTTCCATTTAGAATTGAATCATGAAGTTTCTAGAACATACCCTAAAACATGTAGCTAATTGAAGGAGACATGTTTTACTTTCGCAATGCAGCACGCATGCAAGTCCTGTTTTGTTTCTTGCGCACTTGTTCGTGATAATGTGGCATCCATCATAACTTCGCCGCACTTCATTTGTTTGCACAGTTCACCTTTCACTTTCCATTTTGGAGGATGTCGAGGTAAGAGCTACAGGTCAATAGAAAAAAAAACTAAATGGGGTTTTTATCCTTGGGCTTGTTCTTAATTGATTTATGGAGTGAGTTTAGTAAATAAAGACGGGGAAGGGTCTGCGAAATTAGTGTACTATTCGTCACTTGGGAGGAAGTAACTTGTCCGATGTTGAGGTGATGCCGATATCCAGTCTTCCTTACCGAATATGTAATGGTGCAGAACTTTAAATAATATCACAGCGAGCCTCGACGAAGGGTACTCGCTCGCAGAAGCAGAACTCGCACTACTATGTGCTCTGCCTAGCATTCAGCTATTTCGTCATTCACCTGGAGGATGTGATCTAACGTTCTCAAGATTCTGCAGCGAGAGGAAAAGTGAACGTACTCTGCCATCTGCAAATTAGAATCAGCTGCTCTAGCGCGCGCAAATAGTTGCTGAAGGCGGAATGCATTCACATTTTCTTTGGTTACGAATTTATTTAAATTATATTGCTTTAAATTTCTCATCGTAATTTTTAAAGAAATGTATTTTTACGATCGTGACCGTCTCTGTGGTACAGTGGTCAGAGTTCCTGGCTACAGATCCAGAGGTCCGGGTTCGATTTCCGGCGCCAAAGATTTTTCCTGAGAAGTAGTGGGTCTGGAACGGGGTCCGCTCAGCTTCGTGATGATAATTGAGGAACGATTTCAAGGAAACATCGGCTCCGGTCTAGAAAACCGAAATTAACGGTCTTGGGGATTCGTTGCGTTGACCATGCGACACACTCTATCCGCTGAAGCTGGCACTAACTTCGCCGACAAGCGACGGTCGCTCGGTCGGTATAGTTCGTTTGCGGACTAAAACCATGGAGTTTTTTTTTCGTATTAATTATGACAGTGCTTTATCAGACGTTCTTACGCTGCTATAACGGAACATCAGTACAACGGTCACAGATTTAATGTAATTATTGACTTTCGGAACATTATCCGTTGTCCTGTTTTAGTCTGGATAGAGGAACTGCCTCTGTCGATTGGGCCCAACCGAGTAGGCCTTTTATACCTTAGCATGGAAACAGAGTCCAGTCTCCGGAACGTTGTTTTAAATTAAAATACGGTAGTGGATTATGTCGCTGAAGTCAGTAGTTCGAATAATATCCTATCGTCACGAACTTTTAGATCTTATTCACCAATTTCTTCATGATGCTTCAAGTGTGCATAACTGTTCTTCGGAACTTTTTCCGTATAGTAAATATTTAACTAATATAAAAGTAAATACCGTGTAAGTTGCCTCAAGTGGTAAAACTTCCTACTCTTATTCGGAAGGTTCTCAGTTCGAAGCTCGGCAGTGATACTCAATACGCCGTTTTGAGAGTTTTCATGGTTTTCCTCTGTCCTTCCGGAAAAAATTCCGGATAGAACTCTAACATTAGGCAACGACCACTTCCTTTCGGATCCTTTCCAATTCAATATTCACATTCTTCATTCCGACCTATATAATCCTGCGTTGGTGGAAAGGTCGTTCAGTAAAGTAAAAGCAAAAAATACAAAGGCAAATATTTTCTGACGTTTGTATATTGCTAGATATTTTATTTGTAGTAAGTAAGCATCCTGACCAAAATCGAAATGAACGAATTCGGAGAATATTTATGCTCCGAAATGCCATAGTACTGGAGCCGCTATAGGTAAGTCAGTATAGTGACTGGCTACGGGCTGGACGACCGAGGAGTCGGAGTTCGAGTCCCGGCAGGGTCAAATTTTTCTCTTCTCCACGTCGTCCGGACCGGCTCTGGGGCCCACCCAGCCTCCTATCCAATGGGTACCGGGGGTTCTTTCCCTGGGGTTAAAGCGGCAGGGGGTTGAAGCTCACCACCCACCTCCAGCTACTGTCTAGTTAAAAAAATATGGATCTATACATCCACTCCCCCATACGCCTTCATGGCGCAGTGCTTCATTAGCTAACTACACGGGATAACTACCTTTTCATTCTTATCCAACAGGACTAGGCTTACACAAAACTGGAATTGCTACAAAAAGAGTTAACGTATGAAACTTCAGACACCAGACCGTGTATGTATGACAGGTACAA